ATAGCCAGGAAATGTCAATTTAAGATGTAGACATTTAACCTCTACTGAAAAGTCGAAAGATCAGACAATGCTGGTCCGTATTTCCACGTGGAAGCAACTGTCTGGAGTTGTGCATTGGTTTCCCATTTCAGATGGGGACAAGACTTCCCTGTTCGCTCACTGTTACGGTTATATATGAAGTACTCCCAAAGCCTCACGTATTGTGGGCTTACTCCCTGATCCAGGAGTGTTGGGGGGGTGCATAGAGAGATAATTGGGTGAATCCACTGAGGAGATCATAATTTCATGGCACTTTTTGGAGGTGATGGAAAATGGAGGTGGGGCCTAGCTGAAGGGAATGGATTATAGGGGTGTAACCTTGGGGATGCTACCTGGTCTCTGGACCCTCTCTCGGACTCCTTCTCTTGCTCCCTGGCTTCCATGAAATGAACAGCTTTGCTGTCCCATGATGTTCTCCCTCACCCCAGGCCCATAGCAGTGGAACCAGCTGGCCATGCACTGGCACATCTGAAACAATGTGCCAAAGTAAAGCTTTCTTCCTTTGACTTGACTTTTCCAGGTATTTTGTCATAGTAATGAAAAATTCTCTCTTACACACACACACACACACACACACACACACACACACACACACCCCGTCCAAACATTTGCTTCCATCCAGCCTACCAGCCTGGCTGTGGGGCAGTTGACTTGGCAGCAGGCAGTGTTTGGTTTCCTAATTTTAACTCAGTTAACTTTGGAAGAAGAAATGTAGGTCTAATTTCTTTTCAGGAAACACTAATTTCTTTGGGATGCTTACAAACTTTAGCCCCACGTCAGTTTTTAACAATCTGTTCTACTTTCCCAGGGAGGAGACCGGGAAAGAGGCAACTAGCTGGGTAAAAGTTTAGAAACTGTTTCTCCCCTTGTGATTTTGAGTGGATCAAGCCCACAGTCAGCTTCCGCCAGCCTTGGAACTGCAGGCAGCCCTAGGAGGCCCCGCATTCCTTCGAGCTCTGACTAGTTGTCCACTTGTCATTTTTTTCTCAGCAGCAAGGGCTCTGCTCCCCTTTGGGCTTGTCTTGGACAGCCAGACATTTCTATTCATCAGCCAAAAAGGAGGAGAAAGGTGTGATGCTTGCTTTGAAAGTAATGCCTGGGGTTTGGATTGTGTTCTAAGTCTCATCATTTGTCTGCTTTCACCTTAAATCAAAAGCAAGAGGAAAAAAAGACAGAGTGTGGTAAAAATATTGGAGAAACCCTAAAAAAACACTGTCCTACTTTTCGTCTAACAGAGTAAACTCAGCCTTCCCGACAGTGCACAGAGCTGTAGCAACTTCCCTTGGCTCCTAAGGACCCTAAAACACTGGGGACAGTGGCAGACGAGGGGCCCCACAGAGCCCAGCTTTGTGACCCAGTGACTTACTGAGTGGGCGGTCAGGTGCATGCACCAGGGTCTCAGCAGCCAGTAGGCTCAACGGCGGCTCACAGTGGTGTCCAGGGACCCAGCAAATGCTAAGGGAAGGACTGGGTTAGGAGTGGTTTCCCGGGAAAATGTCCCCAGGAGAAACTGCCAAGGGAGGGCGGAGCAGACAGGTTAGGGAGGAGGCCACTCCGGAGGTTACTTTGTGACAGCTGCCTCTGCAGGGTCCTACAGGGAGCCCTGGAGCACATATTGTCCCCAGTGCTATCCTAGGTGTGGCAAAGCTGCTGGTGTTTGTACAGCGTCATCTACAGTCACTTCAGTGATCGTGGAGCAGGGACATCAGGGACATCCCGGGATGTCCACAAGGGCACTCCTCCAGAGCTCAGGAAGCCAAGGAATGGGCATGCAGTGGTGGCAGCGGACAGGCCCAGCGTGGAAGCGGAGTCCGTTTCCAACGGAAGCCTGAGTATCAGGGTCACACGCCATCTCTGAACACATCGCAGCAGCCGGCTCTGGGAAACACGGTCCCGGGTTAGTGAGGTGTGAGTAGAGCCCAACACCTGGGAGACCAGAACTCGTGCTGCCCACAGAAGACTGGACAGAAGCTGTTACCAGAGGCAAATGGCACGAGAAGGAGTCCTTCTCATCAGAGAGGGCGTGGAGCCCTTGTGTATGGGTAGTTTGTGATGTCAAGACTTTGGGATCAGCAGGTGAGCCGTGGACTGGCCGCTGGGGCGGGGGCACTGGCTCACCTCAGACTCGTGTTAGGTGCTTGCGTCTTCCTCTCTTTTCGGTGGTGGTGGGTGGAAGTGAATGGGCTCATCTTTGCTCCTCCATCTGTGACTGAGTCATCCATTCACCCGGTTCCCTGCTTCCTGTCTTTCAGTATCAAGTAATATTGTAGTTCTTTTCATAGCTATGTGGCAACAACTGCTTGATACTCATCACTGTGATTTACTCAGTGCTGTGGGTTCCCCGGACAGATCCACAAAGAAGAGAGAGGTAGGAAGCGAGCTCTCTGCTGCCTCAGGGAACACCCTGATTCCCACTGGTTCCTGTGTTTTTGAACCTATGGGCAGGGTGGATCTAGCAAGTATAATGGGCTGGGGCATGGTGAGATTCTGGGACTCGAGTTGGAGCGGGTTATGTGTTTCATTGAGTGGACCACTGTGGGGCCTGCTGCCCCAGGATTGAAATACAGAAAGTGTTTTTGCTAGGCTATTAGTATTCACCAAGTCTGGAGATTTTTGAGCCAAGTAGAGACTGGTCTCACCCTTCCCCAAGTCATGTCACCCCATCCTGAATGCTGCTCTGAAATTTGCCAAGGAGCTTGGGGCCTGCCTGGGCTTACACAGTTGCCTTTGGAAGTTTCATATCCAGGGCCTTCCAGAGCATGGGCTGCCTGCTGCCCATGGGACATAGGTGTGACTGCTCCAAACGACAAAGAGCTACCCCCGATGACCTCAGAGACGAAGTCTTATCCTTAACACACTCTGACACATCTCCCCTTTTGAAAAAGAGCGTAGCACACAGACTCAGAACCTTCAGATGAAGATCTGTAACCAATGGGGATTAGATTTAGAACACTTCATTATATTTAGATATTCCTGTTTATTAAAAATGATGCTTATTCTTCATTGAAGATAGTAATATAAAATTTACTTTTCAATGTATTTAGGCAACAGAACTCAGAGTTGACCTGCAGGAAACTTTGAAGTGTGTGTCTGTCTGTGTGGACCCTGCAGGTGTGACAAAGCTTGCCTTTGGCTGAATCTTGCAGGGCACCCGTCCTCTGAGAGCCTGAGACAGGGCTGCTCATGCATGGGGCAGGGCCAGACAAGCTGCATCTCCTGGAACTGGTTAGAAACGCAGACTCTCAGGCTTCCCAGAACCTGGCTGAGCCAGCACCAGAACCTTAACACGCTCCCGGGTGGTTTGCGTGTGCACAGTTGATTTTGAAGTGTTCTGTCCTACACTTTGGAAATGTAAATCCTGTCCCCAGGCAGGTGCCTTGAGTTTATTGCTTATTATAAAATATTGTTTAGCATAGAATAGATACTTAGTAAATTTAGTTAGCTGCCAGCAAATGCCTCCCTCGCTGTTCCGGGCTCCCACTAACAAAGGACACAAACTCTTCTGCAGCCAGAGGCAGTGAAGGAAAGAATGATTGGCTGTAAACTCCTTAGCAAGCACCCCCCAGTCCCTAAGCTGGATGCTAAATTAGACAGGCACAGAGACGAGATGAATAAGGAGCTTGCCCTCAGGGGAGTCACCGTTTTCTAGGGTAAACTGAGGCATTAATGCGTAATGATAGTACAGAGGAATGGGGAGGTGCTAGCGCGAATGCAGAAAGATCCTGGGAGTAGAGACTGTTAGCTGAGTTAGGTGAGGAGAAACTAGAACGGGCTTCCGGGAAGAGATCCTCCCTGGTGAATTAAAAAAAAACAAGCAGGATTAGGGCAGAGAGAAGCAGGAAGGCAATTGCGGGCAAAGGAGTGTAAAGGAGACAGGCGGGCAAGGAAGCCAGGCGCTGTCTCCGTGCGGGGATCCCTGGGGGCCGTGGAATGCACCCCAGCATTGTCTGGAGTATTGGAAAGGACTAAAGATTTGCCCAGAAACCCTGGACTGTAAAGTTGAAAAACAACCTTAGCCGACAACTGAGGACTGGTTCAATAAATGACTAAATGGCTGCCTGACCATTGAATGTGAGACTATGTTATTCTCAAGTTATTTGTAAGAGTCCAATTTGGTCAGAAAATAGCCTGCATGGATCGTGCTGCTACGCTAAAATGCAACATTTGTTTGAGTGCTTCATTTTAGCTTTTTAAAAAATTATTGTTATTATTATTGTTATTTTACGGTGAACTTGGGGAATTAAATTTCATATCTGTTCCTCCAGAACTGAATATCAGAGAGTTTCAAAACTTCCTGGATAGGGACTTTAGATAAAGCAGCTCTTGAACTTTGATTCAGTCATCTACAAAATGGGGATCCAAGTAATACATTATGCAGCAACCCATGAATATGTGTAACGTTTATCTTTTAGGCATCAGTTAAGACACATTTAATAAAATGTAGTATTTTACTCCTAACTAGGAGGCTTACTTGCAAGGGACATGAATGGAAGTTTTTTTTTTTTAATGTGAGACACAACAGGAAATTACTTCTTATTTCCTTCTAGGGATGATAATCCATCTGTGGTGACAAAGAAGACGTGGAGGCCCAGAGAAAAAATCCTTGGAACGGGCCACCAGGAGCACGGCGCTGCCACACTGGGCCCTTGGCCAAGGTCCATCCCACTCCACCGTGTTCCGGAAGGAGACTCTGAAGAGGAAGGGACTGGGGTAACTTTCTGGACGTTGACAACAATTGCTCCCTCCCTTCTGACAGAGTCTGTGTGTCTCCCCCTACAGCTGAGCGTCAGATCTTTGCCTAGCTCATTCCCATAGCAACGCCGCAGGGAAAGCCGCTTGATGACCCTGTTTCCAGGTGAGGAGAGGAGGCTCCAGCGGGTTTGCTCACTTAGTGAGATCACCTGGCTCCCTTGTGACGGCGCTGTGATTGGAGGTCCGAACCCTCAGGCTCTACAGCCTTTTGCCCCGACTGCTCCTTCTTCCTGCCACTGAGAAGAAATCTGGTCCTCATGCAGCCGCAGGCGGCTATGCGAGGCCCGCAGGAGGCCATTTGGGCAGTTAAGGACGAGGAGCACGTTTGGAGTTGTCCAGTGCGTGTCTACCGTCTGTGACCCCCTCTTTTCTGTCTGCTCTTCCTTCCTTCCATCTTTGCCTCCTCCTCCCTCCTCTCCTCTCCTCTGCTTCCTCCCTGTCTTCCCTTGCCGTCTTACTCCCTCCCTTCATTCCGCACTTCCACAAGTATTTACCAAGCACCCCTGGCCCCCTGTGCTCTTCCCCAGACACTAGTGTGACTCCAAGACACGGAGAAAGACGTGACCCTTTATCTTGTGGGAATTCACAGGCTCCGGGGAAGACAGACTTGTTACCCAGTAAAGCCGCGCAAGGTGACAGCTGCTCTACGAGGTATGTGTGAGGTCGCATGGGAACACCTGCCTTCTGTTATTTACTGACTGGCTGGCAGGTTCTGTTCCAAGTGACACTGTGTATGTACCCAGCTCCCTCGAACATTTGATCTGTTCCAATAAAATCCTATTCATCTGAAGGCCGGTTTCACGAAAATTCACCAATTAAGCTGTTCAGATGGAACAACTCGTTGCCAACGTTTGGCTGCAGGTCGAGGCATCCTCTGCCACCTTCTGGGGTGAGAAATTGTTCTGTCTCTTTCCGGATGAGCCCTGCCCCTAGCTGGCTGGGCCTGGTGCTACAGAAGAATGTAACTTCAGCAGGATGCTCAGAAACAGGCCCCGCTGTGGGGTTCAGGACAGCACTTCCTTTGTCTGGACTCGAGCTGGGGCGGCTTTTTCCTTGTGCTTCTGCAGCACAGTTGTGTGGGAGGGCACTGCTGCTGTCTCAGAGGAAGCAGGAAGAGGTGGAAGGGTGAGGAGGGATGAGGCGCAAGGAGCTGTCTCAGGGGTGTGGGGGAGGCTGGGGTACGGAGGCATCCGGACAGCATGGTCCAGGCACTCTCAGCTTTGTTCTTTCACGCGACCATCAGAGGAAGATGATCTGGCCCAGTGCTCACAGTCACAGCCTTGGACTGTTCCTTTTGTGGGGAGCTCATTCTGATGGGCGATTCATCCTAGAATGTGCATCTCTCTTTGCCTACCCAAAGTACTCCTGGATTTCCTTGGGGTTCGTGTGTTTGGGGTGGGGCTCCTTGGGGTGTCAGGAGGCCCTCTTCTAAGCCTACGGGGTGCTCGGTTGCCTGACCCACTTTGACCGGCACAGGGACCTGCATGGGACCAATCAGAGGTTCAGATCAGTGAGAGGTTAGAAGATGGACTTTCAGTGCCGCTGGGGTAAGAAAGCACAAAATTGTATACAGGCGGGAGAAACCTCACTTCCGACTTCGAATTTTGATCTTTCCCCGGTACAGTGCTGGGCCGCAGGAGCCAGTGACAGATCCCAGTCAGCCTCCACTCCCAGGGGATGCAACTGTGCCCTCCACGAAGCACTGTATTTGGTAAATTATGGGAGGCGTTCAACACTTTGTTATGGAGCAGGCTTCGTGCTAGCTGAATTTGCTCATCTGCAGGCCTGGGTGTGTTCGGAGCACAGTTAAGTGGCCAGGCCATGCTAGGTGTTCGGTGAGGTGCTATGCTCGGTGCCCTTGTGATTTCTGGTATTTTCGCCTTACCGGGGTTTGTCGGCACATAACCCTGCCAGGAGTCTGGAGCTTCTGTGTGCTGAATTCACATACTGATCTGAGAAGGGCTGAGACATTTACAAATACTGATTCTCCCCATCCGGGAGGGTGGCTTTCTTCTCACATGTTATTTTTAAGTGAAACTTTATAATTTCCTTTCCAATACATTTTCAGAGTTATTCCATTACTTCTTGTTATTTTATAGTTAAAAAAGGCAAGTTGTGATGAGACAATCTGGATATTTAAATTAAACTTTCCATTTGCATGTCTACTTTATTAACTTTCAATAACAAATTCATGGATTATTTATAAATTCTATGTTTTGTTCTGTTTTCTAATTTCCTAATTTTAAATTTTGTCTTTATTCCTTCCCTCCTGTGCTTGCTTTGGTTCATTTTGTCCTTTTTATAGTTCTTGCTTTGACTGATTTCTCCATTTAATTATTGATTTTTCAAATACAAGCACATTTCAATCTCTTCTTTTCCTAAAATATATACTTGGCCATATCTCGTACCTTTTTGTGTGGGTTACTGTTGTTCATATCTTACTTTATATAATCACTACTTTCAGTTTTGATTTCTTCCTTGACTGGAACCATTTCATAAAAGAATTTTCAATTTCAGAAAGTAAGAGTATTTTTTTGTTTCTAGAGCTTTTTTGGTTATTCTTTTGCTGTAAGGTCAGAGAATGTTATATTCTTTCCACCATTTCTACATTATGAAACATATTAAAGTTTTCTTTTGACCAAATATATATGATGGGTTTTTGTATTCACCCATGAGAATTTTTTTTAAAGTGTGTTCTCAGGGATACAATGTTGAATATGTATTTATTTATCATATCATGCATCTAATAAATATTTATTGAATGCTTGATAGACACTAAGCATTAGGCTAATGGGCTATTCCAGGGGAAGCAGGAAAAGTAAACAGGCAATGACAAATAATGACCTCAATGCTGTCACAAGGCAGGTCAGGTGTCCTAAAGAACATGTCAGGTGCCTGGAAAGTTCTCTCCAAGGAGAAACGACTGAGCCTGACCACATTTCAAATCCACTTGCTTTATGTATTTCAATAATATGTTAGTGTGTGCAGGCTATGATTATTATGTTATCGTTATGGATACTAGCTAAGCTTCTCTCTATCTAAATATAAAATAAACCTCTTTATAATGTTTATGCCTTGAATTCTATTGCTTACTATTTCCAATCATCCTTTTCACGGTTATTTCTTTGAGTTTAGCATCACACACACACACACACACACACACACTACAGTGTATGTTTGTGTATCTTTACACATCATTTTTCATATTAGCACAGGCTTTGGGGGTAATCTGATTTTGAGAATGTCTCTTGCAAGTGGTTTATTGGCAGGTGTTCTTTGTGAATCCAACCAAAATGGCTTTCAGTGTCCTCTATTCTCATTACAGGAAAGACGAAGGCTCAAACTCCTTGGGGGAATATTGAAAGAAATGGTTTTATAATGGCAACGAATCACTTGCTGAGTGCTACTCATTCACCATTTTATATCAGTTGCATTATTTGATTCTCAAAGAACTCTCTGAGGTGGTGACTACTGTCATGCCCATTTCACAGGTGAAGGAACCAATGCACAGAGAAGCTGGTTAGCTTATCTTTGGTCTCACGGCTTGGACTTGGCTTCACAGCACGTGCTTGCAAACTCCACAACACAGCCCCCTGCTGGCACTTGGTGGCCAGGAAAATGAGGCTGCATCTCAGGAAATGGAAGCAGACAGGTGGAGCAGCCAACAGTCCCCACCCTCCTGGTGCAGAGGGCATCCTCAGTGCAAACGTCACTGAGAGCTGGGGCCTCTGCTTCCCAGCAGTCCCGGCCCCTGCCCTCGGTCTCCTGCCTCCCCTTCCCAAACGTTTGTTGGTCCTGGAGACCTGCAAATGCATCAGGAGAGTGTCAGATGATGTACCTGGGGAAACGTCTGAAATTTGGAACTTTCTGGGCCTGACGGCACACTGTGGCCGGGTCAGTGCGTAGCTCCTGATCCTCTCCACCCATGCCCAAGGCCTATGGTGGCCCAGGAGGACAATGGGGCCTTCGGAGTTGGGGTAAAGGGCCCTTTCATGCTTTCTGGGACCCCTGTCTTTTGAGGCCTTCCATGCCCTTGGGCTGGAAGTTGTGGGAGGATCAGAACTGTGACACAGGCCTTATACACCTACCCAGTTTCTGAATTGTCCAGCAAATGGGCACAGCCATTGTCCATTCCTGCTTGGAGGTGATTTGGCGGAAGGTGGGGCCCTGATTTCACTTCCTGCCTGGTTTGCTCTCCTTGGCTGGATCCACAAGCCCTGCCCCTCTCCCAGCCTCAGTTCTACTGAGGGAGAAGCCTGACATGTGTACCCACAGGGAGAGAGACCCGCTGCTCTCCTGCTTACAGGCCCCTGCCCGTCGGGGGAAAGACTTGCCAGGACTTCAGCTTCTTCCCTTCCCATGCTAAGCTCACTGTGTACCCGAACAAGTTACTTAGGCTCCCACCTTTGCAGGGTCTTCTTTTGGAGGGGGGCTACCATTCCACCCATCGCTGGGAGGCAGGACTGAACATGCCAGCCAGTGCTGGGGTAGGCGAGGTAGAATGCGGCCAGAGGAGAGAGGACACTGAGTTTTCCCAATAGGCAGAGCTTCCCAGTGTTGGAACAGCCGGTCCATCTGGGGTGAGTCCCCTACTCCTCAAAGCTGGGGTGACCATGTGTTGGGTATGCTCAGCATCGTGTCCCTCAAACTTGGCTAATGGTCAGACCCACAGGACCAATGGGCCCCAACCCAGAGGCCAAATCCGTGTTTAGATGCAGGCCAGTGGGCAGTACTAAGCTGCCCAGCCAGGAAGCGTCCTCTTTAGCCTAAAGTGGATGATGCTGTTAGGTCAGGGCTGTAGCTAATACATGGAGGCCATGTGCATTTGTATGTCGGATCAACAGCAACTAGTGGTAGTTTTAGCATAGATACGGCTCAAATATTTAAGTATGTACTCATACTAAAAATATTTATTAATTATTTAAAATCAAATTTAGCTGGCATTTTTTTTTATATTGTCCATTTTTCTTTGTTAGATCTGGTAAGCAGGTGATATATCCTGATCCAAGCAACAGAAAGATGGTACCCAAGTTGAAGAGTCATTGATGTTTCAAGCAGTCGTGAAGTACTTTCTGTGTTTCCAGCAACACTCCAGGTGCTGGCAAAGCAGGAGCTTGCATTCTGGTTGGGGTAGGGAGCTCCGGGGTGGTAGCCAGCAAGGGCCGAGGGTTATGGGGAGACTGGAGGAGGTGGAGCAGTGGGCCGCCACAAAGCGTTTCTCTAGGGGAGGTGCTGGGGGCAGCAGATGTGAAATCCAGGAGGAAGGTGGGAGGAGCTGGTGTGTCCCAGGGTGAGAGAGGGTGGTGAGATGGAGCAAGGGAGCTCAGGTCATGGGAAGATGTGTGGATCCCCCAAGATTCCTGCATTAAAACCGACCTCACTGTTATGGCACTTGGAAGTTGTGGTACCACAAGGGTGATACCCCAGAGAGTCACCTCCTCCTTCCACCATTTGAGGGCACAGCAGGAAGAAGCCCTTGCAGAGCTTCCCACCTTTGCAGGGTCTTTTTTGGGGAGGTACTGGTTATCGAACTCGGGACCTTGCACTTGCCAGGCCCTGACCGAACACCTTGATCTCGGACTTCCAGCCTCTAGAACGACAAGCAATCCATTTCTGTTGGCTGCAAGTCACCTAGCCTATGGGAGTCTGCTAACAGAGCTTGAATACATTAAGGCAGGAGAGGAGGCAGGCAGGGCGGGGAGTGGCCAGATTGCCTGGGCTCCTGAGTCCTGGCAAGAGTGAACTCAAGCAAGCACCTCAATGTTTTTGTATGCCCTGGAAGCCATTGGAGGGCTTAGCACGGAGGTGACAAAACTGGCTGTGGTTTATACCACCCAGGTGAATGGGGCTGAGGAACTGGGCTGCAGTAGGAGCTTTGCAAGAGGGCTTCTGAGGGTGTTTCGGGGCGGCGGGTGTACAGTGGGAAAGACTGACATCGGGATAAGTCAAGAAAACCCAAGGGAGGTTCAGGTGGCAGAAGCTGGTGCCAAGGACTGTGATGATGGCGGGGGCAGGGCTGAGGCTGGAGGGATCGAGAGTCGAGAACCGTGAGTCTCTAGGCAAGGATGGCTGTGTGCGGCAGGGAGGACACGGTGACCTCAGCGATGTGCTGAGGGCGTCGTGGACACCATTGAGGGTGCGCTGGACTGCGGCTTGGGAGAACAGCAATGTGCTAGAAGGATGCAAGGTATGGGAATGCCGATTTAGTTGCACCCCTTTGGGGTACCAGCCCTTGTTACTGGGAGGCCTGACAGCAGTGAAGTTGCTTCTGCCTGCCCCCCCCCAGCCCCCAGGAATTTGGCAGCTCATGTGGTTGGCTGACCGCCATGAATTTTTAATGATAATAAACAAGAGCCCGCAGCCCTGCAGTGGGGTGGATGGGAATGTGGGAAAGCACAGCTTCCCAGAGTTCTTCTCTGGGGTCCCTGAGTCCACTGTATGTTTTCAATCCTGACTCTGGGGCAGAGAGGACAGAAAACATCACACTTAATGGCCCCCGTTTCACCCTTTAGGCTGGTCCAGGGCAGGGTTGGGGAGGGAGAAGGACATCCAGGCTGAAGAGTCTCCTCCTGACCAAAATGCTCCTGTCTCTCTGCTGTTAGGGCAAACAGAGGGGTCTGCCTTCCTCATCTGGCTTCTTAGCTAGTGCAGAACTGGTTCCGGGAGGGAGCAGCCGTCTGGAAAAAGTCTGTAAGATGAATGCTGGTACCTGAAGGGCATACAAAGCAAACCTAGGAAGCATGATGCAGGTTAGAGCAAATCTGCCTGCTCTGGGCTCCTCAGACAGCAAGACCATAGGTGGGGTGTGCTTGTTCTGGGCTCACCTGTCAATAACGTTATCAGAAACATTTCCCATGTTTCAGTTTCATTATCCTTGGCATAGTGACTGTTGCCTTGTGATCACAGGAGGATGCTCAGAGATGTGGTAGCATATACATGATAGGAAGGAAGGACTCCAGGGTGTTCTACCCAAATGACTTCTTTATCAGGCAAACAGCTTTCCCAGAATGGCTACCATCAGACTGCCACTTAGAATTGAGTCATGTGGTTGCTCCTCGCTGCAAGGGTGGCTGGGAATGTGGGATAAGGATTTTCAGGCTGGCATGGATGTTTCCATGAGCCACATCTGGACCTCCGTTGCCCAAATCCAGCCTGAGGTACATTCTTGAAGGAGGAGAAAGAGGAGTGCAAGAGTTGGAAGGGAAGATAGTAGTGCTTGCAGGTGGATGGCACTGTCTTTAATATTCACATGCTGAGTCTGGGGGGATGTTAACTTCCCTATCCATTCAAACACTGCTGAGGTCCAGAAGGTTATTAGTGACTATTTCACAAACCTATGTGCCAAAAGCATGGAAAACTCAGAAGAAATGTTTGCCCCAACAGCAGAGATCCCTAGGTACACGTGAATTACCAAAACTGAACTGAGACTTTAAAATCCTGAATAATCCAGTAACAGACAATTAAATTGAAGCAGTAATAATAATAATAAAAAAACTACTAACTAAGAAAAGCCCAGGGCCTGATGGATTCACTACTGAATTCTACAAGAACTTCAGGGGAGATCTAACACCAGTACTCCTGAAACTCTTAATGAAGTAGAGATTGAACAAGTACTCCCCAAATCACACTTGGAAGCTAACATTACCCTGATTCCAAAACAAGACAAAGATCGAACTAAAAAAGAGCATTACAGGCCAGTCTCTCTAATGAATATAGAGGCAAAAATCCTCCACAAGATACTGGCAAATAGAATACAACAAATCATCAGAAAGATCATGCACCATGACCAAGTAGGCTTCGTCCAAAGGATGCAAGAATGGTTCAATACATACAAATCATCATATAAGCAGAAGAAAGGACAAAAATCACAAAATCTAATAGACACAAACAGCCTTTGACAAAATTCAATATCCATTCATGATAAAAGTCCTGAAGAAAACAAGTATAGAAAGATCTTATCTCAATAGGATTAGAAGCCATTCATGAGCAACCCACTGATAATATCATTACAGGGAAAAACTGAGAGCTTTTCCTCTAAAGTCAGGAGCAAGATGAGGATGTTTACTATCACCACTCCTGTTCAACATAGTCCTCAAAACATTATCCAAATCAATCAGGCAAGAGAGAGAAATAAAAGGGACACACAGAGAACAGGACAAAGTCAAAGTGTCATATTTGCTGATGACATGATCCTTTACTTACAAGACCCCCCAAAAAATTCTACCAAAGGATTCTTAGAATTAATAACCAAATTCAGCAATGTAACACAACACAAAAGAAAGACACGGAAATCAATGGCACTCCTATACACTAGTAACAAACTCACTAAAAACATCAAGAAAACAATGCCATTCACAATAGCATCAAGAAAAATGAAATACTTAGAAATCGACCTAACTGAGGAAGTCAAAGACCACTGCAATGGAGACCACTCTGAGGAACGAAATTGAGGAAGATGTCAGCAAAGGGAGCGGTAAGCAGAACTTGTTCCTGGATAGGCAAAAGTGATATTGTCAGGATGGCTGTATTTCTCCAATTGATATACAGATTTAATGCAACCCCAGCCAACATACCAAAAGCATTTCTCAAAAATCTAAAGAGAACATCCTAAAATTCATATGGAACCAGAAGAGACCCAGAATAGCTAAAACAATCCTGGGTAACAAAAGCAAAACAAGAGGCATCATAATCCCCGTTGTACTTCAAAGCTACTGTGATTAAAACAGCATGGTACTGGGACAAAAACAAGCATGTAGATCAAAGGAACATAATAGGGGAAGCGGCAATGACTCCAGGCACATACAGCCATGTGATCTTTGACAAAGGGGCCAGAGACATAAACTGGGGGAAAGAGAGCCTCTTTAATAGTCAGTGCTGGAAAAGTTGGATATATCTCACTATGTACTAAATTAAAATCAAAATGGATCAAAGATCTAAGTGTTAAAAAAAAACACAATCTGCCCAAAGATAAGAATAAGTAAAACTCTTGAAGACATAGGCATAGGCAAGGACTTTCTGAACAGAACTCCAATGGCACAAGAAATAATACTGATAATCAACAGATGGGTTTATATCAAATTAAAAAGCTTCTACACAGCAAAGGAAACAACCAACAGAGTGAAGAGACATCTGCAGAGTGAGAAAAATATTTTAGCAGCTATTCCTCTGATAGAGGACTAATATCTAGAATATATAAAGAAGTAAAAAAAATTAGACCCTCCCCCCAAATAAATGACCCAATAAAATGGGCAAGTGAAATGAACAGACATTTCTCAGATGAAGTACAACTAGCCAATAGACACATGAAAAATGTTCTATATCACTGGCCATCAGAAAAATGCAAATTAACATTTTTACCAGCAATCCTCAAAGGATTAACATTTAGAATATATAAAGAATGCAAAAAAAAAAAATCAGACCCTCCAAAATTTAAAGTCTCAGTCTAAAAATGGGCATCTAAAATGAAAAGACATTTCTCAGATGAAGAAGTACAAACAGCCAAAAAACATATTAAAAAATGCTCAGCATCCCTGGTCTCATTTGAGAGATGCCAATTAAAACAACACTGATTCCATGTCACTCCTGAAAGAATGGCTATTACCAAGAAATTAACCAATAACAAATGCTGGTGAGGCTGTGGAGAAAAAGGAACCCTTCTCCATTGCTAGTGGGAGTGTAAACTGGCACAACCACTATAGAAATCAGTATGGGGATTCCTCAGAAAACTAAAACTAGAGGTTCCATTTGACCCAGGTGTTTCCTTCCTAGGTATTTTCCTGGAAGAGTTAAGGGCATCATAGCACAGTGCGTATGCATACTGATGTTTATAGAAGCAGAATTTATACTAGCTAAATTTGGAAACAGCCCATATGCCCATCAAAAGATGAATGGGTAAAAAAAATGTGTTATGTATACGCAATGGAGTACTACTCTGCTATACACAAAGATAAACTTCAGTCATTTGTTGGAAAATGGATATGCCTTGAGCAAAACAGACTGGACACACAAGTTTAAATATCACAATGTTTCTGTTGAAAAACTGAAAGGGACATCATGGAGGATAGATATTGGGAAGTAGGAAGTGCATGTTCAGAT